CCGGTTGTTACATTATATATTCTTCATTTCTGACAATATTTTTTGCCTATGTAGATTATTTCAAGTATTAATGAGTGTAGTTTACTCTTTGATTATTACAGTGCCATTAGTTTTTCCTGTATTACATCTTGCACAACTTTCTAGTTACCAACTTGGGAAGGTATGACCAGATATGAAAAATGTCTTATTTTTGGTCACCCTGTCCATTATAGGCAAATTTTACTTAGTACTATATATGGCTGAGGGAAACTCAAACTACATCCGTATGGGGATGATGCTAACAGCAGGATAGCGTGTAGGATAGACTCAGCATCAGGTGTTCCCATATATCGGTCATTCACTCTACCCTGCTGTGATAATTGAAGGATTCTTAGTCTTCCATTGTGGGGGTTGGAGGGTCGTATACCCCTAGCAGAAGGTCACAGGAGGTACAGCCCCCTGAATGAGACATAGTGTGTATATTCATATTTTCCCCTGCAATTTAGCCAGTACCTTTCATGCTCTCTGCTGCTGTTGGATCCCAGAGTGTGGGTGTTTGGGGGGTTCATTGGGAGATGTCCTACATATTTAGGTAGTAGAGGGTAAGAGGAATCCATTAATACCATTGATCAGTCATGGGAAGGTATTATGAATGTTTACCAATGAGTTGTGAGTAAGTTTTTCTACACCATCTGCAAAAAGGATTGTTTTTAATTTTTAGGAACAGTTTCAGTTTCCCACAGCCATGTAGTACAAGGTACTAGTAGTTTGCAGAGTCAAAGGCCTTTTCTAAGTCTGTAAATGCTATTAAAACATATTTTATTTCTTTGATAGCATATATGTTTATTTAGAGCATCCATTGTAGTTTGGTCTAAATCCTGTTTTTTCATTTATTATTTGTTTCCAGCCACCAGTTTATCCTTTTTGTTTTTTGATTTCCAAATAGTTTTCCTTGGAAAGTTATTCTGCTGATGAATCTGTATGATTTTGATTCTGAAGGGTTTCCAACTCTTTGATTAGGGTTTATTATTGCTTTCTTCAAATCTTCGAGGGTATTCTCCTCTAGGCAAATATATGTTTAATTTTTGGATTTCATCGGGTCCATGTGATTTCTTATTTTTTGTTATTGCTGTTTGTTTTTTTTTTTTACCCCCATGATCATACTAATTATTTCTAATATTGTCTTTTTTTTATTTTTTTATATATTGTTTATTTCTGATTTATTTTTTAATTTTTTTGATGCGTTGTTATCTGTGAAGGATATTTCATTGTGTTGCATTTCCCATTATTTTTTAAATAAAATTCCAGATCCCTTTTAATGGGATGCTGAAATCTATTGTGGAACTAAATTTTTCCGAGGACTCTCTTTTTTCTCGTTCTATAATCTTTGTTGCTGATGTTTTTTTGTTTTTTGTTTTTTCTAAGATTTTATTGTTAGGCATTTTTCCCTTTTATTGGAGGCTTTATTTCTTTCTTTAACAATTGTTTTTACATTTTGTATTCTACCAAGGTTTACTCAGCTAGCTTTTTTATCATATTCATCAAATGTTTTTTTTTTTTTCTTCTTCTTCTTTCATGTTATCTATTATGTAATATATATCTTTTTTTTTTTTTTTTTTTTTTTTTTTTTTTTTTTTTTTTAATCCACTTTACTTAGTTCTCTTTGGTAATGCAGCCATCCTTCATTAGTGAACTTCATTTTCTTTCATTCTTTCTTTCTTTTTTCTTTTAATTGAGGGGATTTTTTGGTCCACCCACATTCTTAACTTATTTCTTATTATCTACTCGGTCTACGTTGATCGCTTCCTGAGGCTTCAGGTCCTGTGTTCATTTGCTCGGTGAACTTAGAATCAAGAAGCTCAGAATAAGTCTACATGTTGGTCTCCTTCTGCCATTTCTTAGGGTCCGTTCTCTGCGTAGTCTGGCCGGGAGAGTCTTAACAGTGCTGTATTTTCTGTCATTATTTTGAATAAACTTTTGCCTTTTGTTTGTAATGTTTCGGTTCTAATTTAGGTCCTCAGCTTCCGTGTGGTGAGCCAGACCTTTGCAATCTCCTAGTCGATAAACTTTTTTGGGTCATTTATTGCGCTTTACAATAGTATACCTGTTTCATTGTGTGCATTGAGGTTGTATGCACCCTTGGTATATAGGGAGAAGTCTGTATAAGAAGCCCATTCGACTCTTGGTCTGTCAGTTTACTTCATTAGAAAATGCTATTCACGTCTATGGTTTCTGTTTAAAATTACCCTGCATTCCATGACAAAACTGACTTGTATCATCCATCTGGTAGGCAATTAAAACATCGATTTTTCCCCTAAACTCAGTCACAACAGTTGTTTTCTCTACCTGGCTGACTATTTCTAAAGCTGTAATTAAATCACAGAGTTTTTTGATGTTGTCTAGGTAGACATTGTATGTTATCTAGAACGATATGATGGTCCAATACACAAGAGAATACAATGTTATTATTTGTAATTGTTTTTTCGCCGCTTTTATCTCCCTAAGTTGGATATGAAGTTACAAAATGCACTAGGCCGGCAGGATCACTCTACATAGTGGGGGATAAGTTGTAAGGACCATTTTTCCTACTTTGGAAAACTTGCCAAACTGAATTTCATTTTGTTTGTTTGGGTTCTTCTTTTGGGTAAATATGATTCGTTTTTGTGGGGTATGGGTAAAGGGCACAAGGGCTTGATGAGAGTTAAACATTGTGTTTACTGTCTTATGATTTGAGCGAGAAGCTTTTATTAAACATTATTCTGCCCGGGGTCAGCCTTATTAGTCTGATGGTCGAACGTGACTAGTGTTTTTGTGTAAGGATTTTGGTGGGGATAACAGGTAGAAGCAATCCACTGCTTGAATTCAAAAAAAGAGTGGCCAAAAAAGGCAAAATCAAGAATGGATGGATACCTAGTAAAAGCGACAACTTTATTATTTCCGAATTCTCCATGTGTTTCTTCTCGTTTCGGTAATTCGAGTTAGTACATTGGATGGAAATAATTATTATTGAGAATTTGTGTTTAT